TGCAGCTTTGAAACGCCGGGTCCTATGACCCTCGCACCTGGAAGTGACGTCAGACGCCCGCGCGGCGAGCGTCACTTCCGCCCTTGCAGCACGTCTCCTGAGAATTCTCTCCCCCTGTCTCCACGAGGGCCGCCGGACTGTATACTTCCACCAGCCGACCGACGCCGCACAGAGACCGGGGGATGCTGTAGACACCACAGCGCTGCAGGTAGGAGACACGCCATACACAGTCACCTGAAGCAGGGGGTTATGGACCAGGGGAACTCCTCTGAGTCTGCTACACCAAATGGCCAAGTTGTCCTGCATACTCTTATGCCGGGAAACCACAGGCAGACAAATACTTTTTTGGACAGTTGGGGCTGTCCCGGAAGCAGTGGCGGAACTACCGCCGGTGCAGACGGTGCGGACGCACCAGGGCCTCCGGCCTCTAGGGGGCCCAGCACAGTCCCAGTGCCGGATCGGTACCCAGCGGCCAGCGGGCCCCCCATCTCTGCGCCGAGAGTGTCAGATCATCCGTTCATCCGACACTCCCGGCGCAGAGATGGGGGGCCCGCCGGATACTGATGGTTGCCATGGCGATAGGACGCACCGATATATCGGCCGCCAAAAGATATAGGCCGGAAATGGGACTTTTGGCTAAATGCCAAAAGTCCAATTTTTCTGCAGATACAGCAACGCATCCGTGCTTTCTTTCCTCAGCGCTGGGCGCTGCTCTGTGTCCCAGCGGGGAGGAGAGAAAGTGACAGCCGGCCGAGCGCTGCGGGAGGAGCGCTGGGTGATGTTTCATGTTTCCGGTGGGAGGAGCCTATCTCTCTAATGCTGTCCTGGAAGGTGACTAGAGGTTATCCCCTGTGTAAAAGCAATGCAGTTAAGTTAAAAAAATAACTAATTAAAAATGTAACTAAATAAAAAGGTGATACAGTAAAAATAATAAAAAATAAAATATTTTGCAAAGTAAATAAAAATTGAAAAAATTAAAACAAGCCCCGCTCCCTCCATCTGCATGCGATTCAACTTTGTGGATTGGAAACAATGCAGCAACTTTAACTTCTAGATCTGAATGGACATGATTCTAAGATGGGGTGGATGCCAGGACTCTGAAAAGGAATCGGTGATGATATGGCATCACCACTAGGGTTGCCACCTGTCCATGATTCACCCGGACAGTTCGGGTTTTGAATGCTGTGTTCGGGTTTTATGGCAGCAGAAACCCAGACACAAGATGTCAGGCACATAGGAGAAACCAAAATTAAGATAGGGGCTACTGGCCCCCCACTGAAAATAGTCTCAACTGTGATATTTCCATATGAAAGGGTGGCACTATTTACATATGAAAAAGCCGCAACTCATTCTTCCAAGAAAATTTCCGTGTGTCGGTAGAGTGTTCGGGTTTCGATGGAAAAAAGGTGGCAATCACCACCGAATCCTTTTCAGAGTCCTGGCATCCACCCCATCTTAGAATCGTGTCCATTCAGATCTAGAAGTTAAAGTTGCTGCATTGTTTCCAATATAATATATGTTATAATATATGTAATCTTAGGGGGACGAATAGAATCCCCGCCCTACCTCAGAAGTCTCATTGAATAATGGTAGGGAGGCTAATCTTTCTTATTGGCTTAGCCTTAGAGGAACCATACTCATCACTGATTGGTTGAGTGAGATAGTTTAAATTACCCGCCGAAATTCAATCCACGTTCTAAGGATTGCAGGAACGTCAGACCAGCAATAGTCATAATGGGAGTGTGCAGGACGATCAGATCCTTCCTAAGAATACATTTGTTTCTCGTTTTCTATATAATAATATCTGGTAGTCCTCATCTCTCCATCTGTAGTCCCTACATAGTCCATTATTATCACCGGAGGAGAACGTACAGGACATCACTGAGCTCCGGGGATATGATCGGATCTCCTCAATCTCTGGGCAAATAAACTGGAAACAAAGCTACAAATGTGTACAAAGCAAACAGAACTAATGTCTCCAATAGAAAGACAAGTAATCAGTGAAACATGATGTCATTGTACAGCTCTGATCACCTCTATGGAGGGAAACATTGTATATCGTCAGAGGAATCATCATGTACAATGTCACCGCGGAATTCTACATTATTCAGAGAAAATAATAACCAGCCAAAGACTAACACCGGACACGAGGAACCGAAACATTCTAAACATATCTTAGCTGTAATATAAGCTTCGAATCGTAACATATAAACACGTAATACTCTGTACTTTTATCGGGTGTTAAACCTCTTTATAGGGAGAATGTGGGGACTCTGAAAAGAGCCTTTGTGTTGTGTAATGGAGAATGGCGGGGTCTCTTCTTATGCCCTCTCCCCTCGGATCCTGCGGGCCAATCAAACACATTTACCCACAAAATCCGAGCCCAGATGGGTTTGGAATTCACCTCTGAGTTGAAATCAAAATTCCTGGTACCATTACCGAATCAATCTCGTCAACAATCTTTTTGTGCGGTGGAAAAATTATTCAGAAGAAAAGCAAAATGAGTTTATACATTTATAACATTATTATTGCTTTTATTTTAAATTGAAATGCAGCAACAGAGTAACTTTGTACTAAAATGGATTCGATTAGGTAAATGTTAGTTTGTCCAGGTGAAAACAGTGACCTCCCTAATCCAGTTCTTGTTTCCCCCATCCACCCGTTCAGTGTAACATTTACTTCCAGGTTGAACATTTGGATCAGCACCCAGTAAGTTTATTAGCTACTTAGATCTGAATGTGACCGAGTAACCGCTCCAATGTCTCCTCTATGGAGGAACACTGCCACCTGGTGGCCACATGATACATCGCCTCTGTACGGGGATCCGGGAAGATCTACAATATCATCGGATAGTTTCCTTTCAGAATTCCTCTTCTGAAGACATCCGTGTATTGTATAGCGATGTACAGTGTAGATTGTGTAAAAACTGTAACTAATCAAACAGCTTTGAAAATGGGAAAACCAATCGTGTTACCATCAGATCACAGCTCAGATAGTGAATTAGTGGGTGGCTCTTAAAAGAGCCGTTGGGTCTTTAATGGCATGTTCTCATTCCTATTTACTTGGCGCTGGTGTACTTGGTGACGGCCTTGGTGCCCTCGGAGACGGCGTGCTTGGCCAGCTCTCCGGGCAGGAGGAGTCGGATGGCGGTCTGGATCTCCCGGGAGGTGATGGTGGAGCGCTTGTTGTAATGAGCCAGGCGGCAAGACTCGGTGGCGATGCGCTCGAAGATGTCATTGACGAAGGAGTTCATGATGCCCATGGCCTTGGAGGAGATGCCGGTGTCGGGGTGGACCTGCTTGAGCACCTTGTACACGTAGATGGCATAACTCTCCTTCCTGGTCTTCCTCCGCTTCTTGCCGTCCTTCTTCTGAGTCTTGGCTACGGCTTTCTTGGAGCCCTTCTTGGCCACCGGTGCAGACTTGGCTGGTTCAGGCATGATCTCAAATTATATTTCCGTTCGCTGCAGGAAAAAAGTGCTGGTGCCGCCCTCATGTGCTGCTTATATAGCCGGGCTATGCTAATGAGACCTGATCCTTCTTTACTGTTCTATTGGAGGATTCAGTCATGTGATGAAAATGAGGTAACGGTTTAGTGCCCCATACCGATTGGGTTAGAGACAAACCTGAACGCTATTGGATGGCTTACATACTAACCAATCACAGAGCTTTACGTCACATTCTACAGGTTATAAATAAAAGAGAACGCCGCTAAAGTTCTAACTCGTTTGAAAGAAAACTTTTTCATTTGAATTATGTCTGGACGCGGCAAACAAGGCGGGAAGACTCGTGCTAAGGCAAAGACCCGATCATCCCGGGCTGGTCTGCAGTTCCCAGTCGGTCGTGTACACCGTCTGCTCAGGAAAGGAAACTACGCCCAGCGGGTCGGTGCCGGAGCTCCCGTCTACCTAGCCGCCGTTCTGGAGTATCTGACCGCTGAGATCCTCGAGCTGGCCGGTAACGCCGCCCGGGACAACAAGAAGACCCGCATCATCCCCCGACACCTCCAGCTGGCTGTCCGCAACGACGAGGAGCTCAACAAGCTGCTCGGTGGGGTCACCATCGCCCAGGGAGGAGTCCTGCCCAACATCCAGGCCGTGCTGCTCCCCAAGAAGACCGAAAGTCACAAAGCTTCCAAGGCCAAGTAAACATCCATCAGCATAAACTTCCATTACAAAACCCAAAGGCTCTTTTCAGAGCCACCCACATCTCCACACAGAGAGCTCCTAATACAAGATGTGAATATGTATAGAATGACTTGCAATTGATTTTGGTAATTGTATAAAATGAGTCTTCCGGTGGAAGAACAGGAGAGATTAGCTCGCTGATTATCTCATAGATTTAACGATCAAGTCATGTGTTCTCCCCAAATCGCAGATCTCCAACCCTTTCATTGCTGAATTGTATTGAATGCTGTGCAGATCACGTGTCGCCTCACCGCAGAACATAATTTATATAAAATATCCATGTTATTGTCTGATTGAGGAATCACTGAACCTCAGCCAAATGTGAGAGTGTGAAGACAAAGAGGATTAAACTGCCGATTCTATCTGGAAAGGAGAAATTGCAATTATATTCTGACTTCTAAAAATATGATGTCCCAGTTTTTGAAACGAAAAGTTGAGGAGAAATGTCAGGAAGGGACTGTCATGTGGGGGGGTTGCAAGGATCTGTCAGAGGACAGCGGATGTCCAAAGACGTCCTAATACAATGACAATTTGGGATTCCATTATCTCTAATCGGTTACAATTTGCCGGTAAAAGTAAACCGCTTTATTCACTCGAACAAAATCTTTATGTAGATAGGGGCAAATAAGAATTGAATGAGCGGGAATTTCAAACCGAGTAACGGCTAAGTGCTGGGACCATACCCGCCTAGTGAGGTGGAGCGTTTGAGCATCACGGATACCCCTCTCAGTTCCCCATCAGGTCCACATTTTATCTTTATAAAAGGAAGTGACCAGGGCTATGTCTCATCATCGTTTGTCAGGCTAACGAAGCATAATCATGTCTGGTCGCGGTAAAGGCGGGAAGGGTCTGGGGAAAGGAGGCGCTAAGCGGCACAGGAAGGTGCTCCGGGACAACATCCAGGGCATCACCAAACCCGCCATCCGACGCTTGGCCCGCAGAGGGGGTGTCAAGCGTATCTCCGGACTCATCTATGAGGAGACCCGCGGAGTGCTGAAGGTTTTCCTGGAGAATGTCATCCGCGATGCCGTCACCTACACCGAGCACGCCAAGAGGAAGACCGTCACCGCCATGGATGTGGTCTATGCTCTCAAACGCCAGGGACGCACTCTCTACGGATTCGGGGGTTAAACTGTAACTCATCAGCCCGTTTCATATACCCAAAGGCCCTTTTCAGGGCCACCCACCTTCTCATAGAAAGTGCTGTAACACGGTTACTAACAATCATGATATTAGTAATCACTCCAACAAACAAGTGTAAACTTTACACTGTAAAGATAAAGTGAAATCTCTTCAAGGAATGAACACATATTTAGATTGTATAATTATTTCTGATGGCTGTTATTTATCTGTAAATTGGAGCAGCTAAATCACCTAATAACTATAATCTGCAGGTGGAGGATAGAACTTTACAATACAAACTGCCGGAGCGGCTCATAGGGTCAGGTCTGTGGAATGTGCAGAGTAAACATTTGTCTAATGCTGCCGATGTGTTCTTATCTAGGATTCAATCTCCATATTCCATGAGTCAATAGTATCAAAATCGTAATCACAGGTCTCATTAGAAACTAGAATGATTTCAAAAGATGCCGATAGTTTGGTTTTCATTCCCATATGGATAACACAAAACCACAACAGTGCAATCCTAGGACATTTTATTTTACACAACATGCAAATGTTTATAGATCAATGTAATTAACATTTAATGCTGAATTAAAAATGAATAAATGCAGAACAAAAAAAGTTATGCAGGCACACTGCAATCATGGTGAATATACTGCACAGGGAGCAATTCTAGTCTCAATGAATTGCCTTTTGGACGCCTCACTCGTACAAGGCTTTCCAAACGGTGCCACACATTCTCTATCGGGCTCAGGTCCGGGCTGCTTCCTGGGCAGGTCAGCAATGGGATGGACTTTGTTGTGAACGGTGCTGATTGCATGTTTGCTATATCCTTCTGAACTAGAAACGGTGCATTGTTGCATTGCTGGGAAAGAGGTTCATGTATTTTCGGGCGTCCATTACCTGAAGGAAAACATGCAACACCATTTGTTGCCATACATGCCCAAATATTGACGTTTGTTGGTTGCTGTATATTGGCCTCCATGTAGTCAGGAATCAGGATGTAGCTCTTCTACTCTACGTCTCCCCTATTTTCAGCCCTCGCTATCAGATGAGGAAATCTGACTTTCATCACTCCAAATACCAGAACACACCACAACACTGACTTTCCTCAGCTTCTCATTAAATGCATTGCAATTACTGCCATTTGATTGGTCCCCGGAGCAAGGACTGTGATTGGCCAGTAGGGTTTGCTCCTAACATCCGCTTCTTTACTGACTCACACTTGTGTTTCTTTGTTAGACTAAAGGAAGCATAACTTGCGTTGTACTGAACATATTTGCATTCTGTTTTCTGTATTGAATTCAGCATGACATATTCTTTATATTGACATATCAACATTTGTATTTGGTGCAAAATAACATTTCCTATAAGCCTGCAAAGCTGCAAAACATTCCAGAAAGTGTCCACAATTTGTGCCACTGCTGTAACGGAACTTGCTAAAAGGCTCAACGGAAAGATTTAGGCGGGTATTTTGGAAAATGCTAATTCATTCCATCATGAAAAGGGGAGGGCTTCACTGTCCAATCAGAGAGCTGGGGTGTTTATATATAGCTCTGCAAAGCGGCTGCGTGTTACATTCGTCGTTCTAGGGAAGCGTTGATCAGCAATGGCAAGAACTAAGCAGACAGCCCGGAAGTCCACCGGCGGGAAAGCTCCCCGCAAGCAGCTGGCTACTAAAGCTGCCCGTAAGAGCGCCCCGGCCACCGGCGGAGTCAAGAAGCCTCACCGCTACAGGCCCGGCACTGTGGCCCTCCGAGAGATCCGACGTTACCAGAAATCCACCGAGCTGCTCATCCGAAAGCTGCCCTTCCAGCGCCTCGTCCGCGAGATCGCCCAGGACTTCAAGACCGACCTGCGCTTCCAGAGCTCTGCTGTCATGGCTCTGCAGGAGGCCAGCGAGGCTTATCTCGTAGGACTCTTCGAGGACACCAACCTCTGCGCCATCCACGCCAAGAGGGTCACCATCATGCCCAAAGACATCCAGCTGGCCCGCAGGATCCGAGGGGAGAGGGCATAAGACCACATTCTCTAAAACAACACAAAGGCTCTTTTCAGAGCCCCCACATTCTCCGTATAAAGATCTGTATACACAGCATGTCGGCGCCGAGAATTGTAGGAGCAATGTTTTACTATAGAACTGATATCAGATCCTCTGTGCAGGACCCCGGGCTGAGATCAGCTCGCTCTTAGTCTCTCACCTTCACATCTAATACATGTTCTAGAAATAAATCCAGAACAAAGTAACATTTCACTCGTCTAGGGGAGACCTTTTCTATTAGGGAATCGCTGCTGTCCTGTCATCGACTTCAATGTTTTCCTTTCACAGAAACAACATGCAAACGTGCAGCTTCGTTCATCTATGTGTAGTGATGGCGCTCTGTAGAGATTTGTGAATTTCTGATCTAGTTTTCATTATTAGGAGGTTGGGTTAGAGATCTGAGGAACACGCAGCAGAACATGCGTGATAATCCTTCCACATGGCGATCGACTATGGGATCAGAGATCTCTGCCGGGGCTGTAAAGATGAGAAGGCACATAGAATTCATATTTATGGGAAAACGGGGAAATCCACTAAATCTCTTCAGGGGGGTTATTTCAAAACTGGAGAAGTCGCCCAAGGCAACAAATCAGCTTCTTATTGTCCAAACCTTAGCTGATTGGTTGCTCTGTGCAACGGCTTTGGATTGATAAACCCCCCTCTTTTCACTATCACCCAACTGTCCGTTGTAGCGGTTGCTATAATTTGGGCGGGTACTTTACAAATATCCGACTGAACCAATCACAGTTACTTGCGGTTCCCCTGCTAGCCAATGGGAGGGTCATACCATTATAGGATAACACTTCTGAAATAAGGGCGGAAGATAGTTTCCCTCCAAATGTAACTGGTTACAAAGGACGTGTCTTCTGATCACTAGCAGTCACTTCCTGTATAACGTTCCAATGATTGACACCTACAATAAATATGAAGCGTGTACATTGGTTTTAGTGATAAACTAGTAGAAACATGGAGACGGCAGTGTGCAGGAATGGAACATTTCTACCGTTCCATTAATCCTCAGCTCACAGCTCTAAATATCCTTCATACCAGGAGAGAGTCTCTGATTGGTCATACAACTTCTAAATGACTGCATGTATAATAGGAGGAGGAGCGCACACTGTAATATTACACATCGAGGTGTATGTATGTGGAGCTCTTTTGGGAGAAGGTGGGTGGCTCTGAGAAGAGCCTTTGGGGTGTGGAGGAGATGAATGGAGAAGCTCCGTCTTATCTCTTCTTGGGAGCAGCCCTCTTAGGCTTGGCTGCCTTCTTAGCCGGACTTTTGGCTGTCTTGGGCTTCGGCGCCTTCTTAGCCGGGCTCTTGGCTACTTTTTTGGGCGTGGCTGCAGCTTTGGGCTTCTTGGGGCTCTTTTTGGCAGCAGCTGGTTTCTTGGCGGCCGTCTTGTTCTCTGGTTTTTAGTGGGGGTTGGGAGGACCCAGGGCAATAGTGGGTGGTAAACAGTGTGATGGGAGTTGATATGGTATTATGGTGGAAGGAGGTGGTGTGTGTGTTTTGGGAGGGGGTATATTTAAATTATGTCAGGTCCTTTGGGGATGATGGTTGACCTGAGAAGGTGGCAGGCCTTTTAACCCTAAAGGTGAAGTGGATTGGAAGCATTTTAATACAATAGATTTGTATTGAAATGTTTTGTTAACCAAGTAGGTAGGTAGGTAGGTACAAAAAAGAAAAAACAGAACAAGAACACAGAGTTAAAAGAATACACAACTAGCAATCATCATATAGTTGTTGTGGGTATCATATAATCCAATAATCGATATTACAGTATTCAGTAGACATATTTAAGGTGCATCTCAAACCACAAGGTGTATCATTTTTGACCAGATGCTCCATAATTATGACAATATAAGATCTAACATATTCCAGCTCTATAATGAGCAAAATCTGGCATAGTTGTGTCAGACCATCGGGCCCTTGGGAGCCACTTCTCCTTAAATGTTGGTAATGTTCCTTCTTTATACGCTTTACGTTTTTTTGTGGTGGCAATGGAGCTTTACTATGTATAGGGTGCCGCCAGTTGAGCGAGGGGGGGGGTTGCATTTTTCCATTTCCTGACAATAGTAAGCCTGGCTGCCAATAGTATATGTGTCGTTAAGCGTCTAAACTTTGCTGGAAGATGTTCAATCCCCAAAGAGAGGACCGCCAGGGCAGGTGATGGGTTTATCAATATTCCTGTGACGTCAGTTATGATCCGGAAGGTTGCCCTCCAAAAGTTCGCCAGGTGTTTGCACTCCCATTGAATGTGGTGTAGGGTGCCCTCCAGGCCACAGCCTCTCCAGCACTTTGGGGAAGATGAAGCAAACATCCTGGCCAACCTGTGTGGTGTATAGTACCATTGCAGGGATATTTTGTAGTGTAGATCCCATAGTTCCACAGATCTAGTGGTCTTGAGTGTGCATGAGATGGCCCGTAGCCACTGGCTCTCAGAGAAAGTACTTGTGAGAACGCTTTCCCAGTTCTCAAAAGGTTTAACCTTGATAAAGGACGTTTTATTATGCAGTAGAGAGTAGAATAATGATATACCCCCCTTCCTAGGTGAGTTCTCGAAATAAAACCTCCAGGCTGGGTAATGTATTTTGCAAGATACGTGGGGATTGGAGTGTAGCACATGTTTAATTTGGAGATATTGGAGGAAACAACTGGAGGGTAGGCCATAACCGAACTAGGTCTTATTTTCCGGGTAGGTCTTATATTACAGAAATCCCCGAAGATAGCGCTAGGTCTTATTTTCGGGGTAGGTCTTACTTTCGGGGAAACACGGTATGTAGGATATAGAAAAGGTAGGGCCAGGAGAGAGATCAAAGGCTTTTTTGATGTCCAAAGACAAGAACATCAGGGGCATTTTCTGTTTATTTTTGTGCAATATGGGTGATAAGAGTGATTCTGCGGATGTTATCTACAGCTTGGCGGGAGGGAATGAAGCCCAATTGGTCCTTGTGGATTAGTTGACCAATACCAGTATTGAGCCTTTTCGCAAGTACCTTAGCTAAGAGTTTAACGTCTATGTTTAGTAGGGAAATTGGTCTATAATTGGTCCATTGAGTGGAATCGGTGTGTGGTTTTGGGAGCATGCAAACAGTGGCTGATAAGGAATCACGGCCCGAGGGTTGGCCTGCTCTGAGGGCGTTAAAGGAGGCTGTCAAGGGAGGGATGAGGATATCAGAGAACGTTCGGTAGTACAGAGGGGAGAAACCATTGGGACCAGCCCGTTTGTGTAATTTAAGGGATTTGATAGATTGTTGAACTTCTTCATTCGTGATCGAAGAGTCTAATAGAGTTTTTAAATCTTCGCAAATGGGGGGGAGGGAAATGGATGAGAATAAATTATCTGCTTGAGGAGTGGAGAAGGTATTTTCAGCAGTATATAGGTGAGTAAGGTGTTTTTCGAACTCTTGTACGATAAGGGATGGGTTGGATGTGATGTTGCCGGATGTCGTACACATTTTAAAGGGTTTGTGACGTGGGTCAGAGTGCCGCAGTCGAGTAGCAAGCATGGTGTCTTGCTTATTTGCTTTCAAGTAATAAACAGCTTTGCCGCACCCAACACCGTTATCTGCAGAGTAGGTGAGGAGTAAGTTAAGGTCCCTCCTGGCGTTATCCATACGAAGTTAATTGTGTGGAGTAGGGTGGTGTTGAAATTGTGTAGCTCCGTCATTGTAGAGTCTCTCAATGCTCCTCTGTTTAGAAAGTCTTTCTCTTTTGATTCTAGGGGCCAATTTAATACATTCACCGCGCATCACAGCATTGTGCGCTTCCCAAATAGTGATTGGGGAGACTTCGGGAGTGGAGTTAATGGTTAGATAATCTAAAATAAGAGATCTCAGTGAGAGTTGGTGGGATTCATCTGCTAAGAGGTAATTGTTGAGAGAACAACAAGGGTTCGTGGACAGTGCCAAGAGGGAGGCTAGGGATATTGTCACTGCTGAGTGATCGGACCAAGAAATGGGTCGAATAAGAGCAGAGGTGACCGAAGGGAGCATGGTATGTGATGTGAAGATATGGTCGATCCCGGAGAACGAATTGTGTGGGAGAAGAAGGTGTAGTCACTGGTAGAAAGGGATACCTTCCCGCTGGGTCTGCAATTTCTTTGTCACATGTGAAATGGGCGGATTTATGGAAGCTTGTTTATGGAAGCTTATTAAGACACCCCTGTGTTGACACCCACTTAAAGCCCCTATGTCAGTCATGTATAGGGTGACGTTTAAAGGAAGAGTCAGCATCAGCATGGAGTAGTCTCTTATCTACTGTCAAGTTAGAATTAACTTCCACGTTTCATTCATTCAGGTCTATGTTGGATATTTTTAGGACTCCAGCCCTTGACCCAAAAGTGCCGTCCCCCTCAGGTTTGCTGGTAGTGGCTGCTGAAGGTGTATCCCTTAAATCCTCCAAACAGGACGCTTCGGATCGCTCGGGGACAGACTCGTCTTCTGAGGTGGGTTGTGGGAGGGAGAACTCTTCCAATAGTTCTAGATTTAATCTATCTTTGGAAGATGTGGACAACTTTTTAAAGTCCATTTATGAGACCCTGGAAATACAGGAAGAAAGGGTGCAGCCTTCCAGGCATGCTCTTATGTTTTAGGGCCTAGAGAAGGCTTTGTTATGCCTTCCCTGCAGTTCCTCTTTTACCAAGGGTACTTCAGAAGTTCCTTCTGGAGGACACAGACTTGATACTCATAGCTCCTTACTAGCCAAAGCGGATCTGCTTTTCTCTCCTACTGCCTGTGTCGGTCCAGCCACCTTGGACTCTACCAGAGAGGCCTGATCTGATTCACCAGGGCCCGGTCCTCCATCCAAAGATGTTCAGGTTCACAGCATATTATGTGAGGAAGACATCTTGAGTTCTAGGGGTCTTTCCTCCAGAGTAATTTCCAGAGTAAGCCTTCCCAATGTGCGCCCTGCTATAAAGGCTGGTTATAGATTCATGCATGTACCATCTTTTCTAGTTTGACTATTTTTGGTTTGGGGGACGCACTGGAGTCCCAGCGTGCATTTTTGGTTGCTGGGCCTCCAGTGCGTC